GGGTTCGTCTCTTAACATTGAATTTCTGTAGTCCAACGATTCTCACCCATTTTGTCTTGTTGGCGCCAGCGAATGCAGAACAAACATTTCTTCAAATTTAAAAAGTAAAAATTTCACTACTAACAATTTAAAAATGTTCTTAAAACTTGCAAAGAAATTTGGAAAAGAAATATCACTGTTTTTGTTTTTAGGAGTAGGGTGGGAGTGTCATTGATAAAATTAGAGCGAGAGAAAGTTTTTCTTACAAAACCTTTCATTATTGAATCATGTTCCGGCTGTGAAATTGGAATGTATAAAGAAACGCAGCCAATATTTTTGAACCTTTAAACGATGTACCGTTCTCCATGGAAGAGGTCGAATTCAAATGAGGCCCTGCAACTTGTAATAGTTCCAATTTTTGGGTTCCCGACATTTTCTGATAAAGATGTGGCGCTTCTAAAAAATATATATGCATAAATATAAGCACGAGACTTACTATTATTATTCACATCAGATGTGACAAGAATTATCCACATAGGTAGTATGATCAGTTTAATTTCATAAGATTTTTTATAGAAAAATGCATGACGATTTGGGTACGGTTCAATTATTTGTACAATGCTTTTGGGTTATCGTGTCCAAACGCGTCACCCGAATCAAACAATTTTAACATATACGTCTAGCCGAAGGATAAAGTTTTAATTTAAAACAAAGATTTTAGTTTGAAATATGCACTTTTTTTGTAAATTTGGCCGAAGGTCACCGCCGCGGGAAGGAGTTTTGCGCAAAAATACCGCTGATGGTCTAACACGAGTTTAATTTTTCTTTGCGAAAATGCTAATTTCCCCCATTTCTAATTTCACTACCATTTTATCAAATAGAAGTTTGCGCGGATAAAAAGAAAACCTGTAGGAATAGGCAGCAGGTCTATTGACTTCAATAAATTTGCTTTCCAGAGGCCTCGGAAACTGCCAGATTTATTTCTACATGAACTGCCGCCTAATAGTTCAACAATGTTAAACAAACTCCAAACATCATAAGCAAATCTATCTAACCTGTAATAAAGATATCATTCTCAAGTCAATAACTAACTTCACAGAGTCTTACCTCCGAAAATATTGAGTTAAAAAAGTGCCAGACGAATTGTTTGCAACTGACAACATACCTTGTGTTCCGAAATGCATAAAGTCAATGCATCAGTCTGTTATTTCTAAACTAGAATTGATGGATATGTGCAACATACGCAACCACGGTTGAATGCTGAATTGGAACTTAGTTGAGCAAATAAGGCATTTTCATCATTTGTAGTTTAGTACTTATGCTTTGGTTTGAGGCATTTCTGAACACAAACGTATACATCTTCATCTTCGCTCGCACTATAACTTTCGTACAAGTTCATTACTTTACTACTGCCTCTTCGGCTTTCCTTCCACTGTTTTTCACCTCTTAAAAACATTGGAGCACCAAGGTGGCGACTACCTGAAGTAGCTAAGTTTAGTTGAAAGCCTACATTCAATATCAGACGTGCATGGCTAGAATTATTATTTGGATACTGCCACATCCACAGAACACATTCGGTAAACTGGTTCAGGATCCACAGAAGTCAATAGAAACTTACTATTAGCACTATACCGTGAAACTTTTATAAGATAATATTTTAATTGTTTTGTATATTTATTGAAGCATCAATGTTTAATTGTAAATCCAAATCGACAAGTAACGTAAGATCTCGACAGGTTTAAAGCTTCAACTTTGTGCGTCTCCAGTGACGCCTCTTAGCATTGTATCTAGGGATAAGATTATATTAAAACATAATATTAAAAAAAAAATGCAAAAGTTAGAAGCTATATCCGCCTTACCTAATGGTGTTTCCAGTACGTAAACGGATCCACTGAGGAACCGATCGGTTCTGTTTGAGCTTCTTAGCAAGTTTTTGTTTAATCCTGAAAGATTTATGCGCCGCCTGAAATAACCAAAAATATCGAACATAAATGTTATATTTTGTTCACCAACATAACACCGATGGATAAAATATAATTGGATCACCAACGCACCATTCTATCAACTTGGCCTTGCAAATACAAAAGAAGGGAACGTGATAGAAATGGACGGCTTTATAAAATATTAATCGATAATTTAGTGATGCCAGATCATCGATATTCTGCACAAAATTAGATACCTATATTACGCGGCGTCTCCACAGGCAAAAGTTTTTATGTTGACGTTAGGGCTATCACTGAAAATCTACGATGCATCAAAATCAGCCGGCGCAAAGAAAACAATACATATGTATGTCATTTTGCTCGCGCTACCCCAACAGTCGCAATGGCCAAAGCACTAGGGTGCGATTTGAGAGATCCGAGTTCCAATCCTCGGACACTTGTTTTATTATTTCATTTAATGTATTTTGTTTTAATTTATTTACTGAATGTGGATGGGCCTTTACTCTCATAATGCGAACATCGAAAACATATTCGCCCTACCTTCGCTCTCGGCGCTTAAAATCTTTCTAAGCAAATTGAAAGTATTTAAATTAGCATTGGAAATTTTAAAATAATTATGAAAATAAGATAAAAATTGTTTCTTGCGATATAATAAGCGTGCAGCACACAAATTATGAAAATACTGACGCGATAAATAGGGTACGTTGAGAAATGCATCAAGCCAAAGCATCAGTCTCTTTTACTTGTAAATTAGAACTGACGAAAATGCCTTATTTACGTAACTAAGTTCCAATTAAGCATTTAAGCGTGGTTGCGTATAATGGACATTTCCATCAATTATAGTTTAGAAATAAATGCGTCTGATGCTTTGGCTTGATGCATCACTGAAGACACCCATATTGAACATGTAGCATTCGTGCGCGATCCATCAATATGGATCCCGATCTAAATATCATGATAATTACTGACCGTATGGCAGAGCCCAAACTTTGTTGTTTTGCTACATAGTCCCCTTTCAGACACGTCAAGTCTTGAAAGCAATTTTTTCGCATTCTCTTTTGTGTTTTCTATTTGCTTCCACACGTGTCAACTTCAATTGAATTCAAGTCCTTGGTTCTTTAAATGGGAAGCAACGAAAATATCAAAAGAGACAAGAAAACTTGAAACGAATTGACGGTACGGAGGTATCTGTACTCTTCGCCTCTCTTCTCACCTCCTTCGCCCACGAACGAGCAGACTTGAAACGGGACATAGTCGCGCGTTTAAAGTAGCGATGGGCGATGTTTATCCTTTGCGGCAATGCAGGCAAAGTCTGGGATGTGAAATAGCATATCGACAGCTGAGTGGAAGATCGACCTATCTCGCCAGCCAGTTCGAAAACGCCCTATCTCCAAAAACTTTTCAAGAACGCCCTATTTCAGAATTTTATTGAAAAACACTCTATCTCAGCATTTGGTCGAAGAACGCCCTATTTCAGAATTCGATTCAAAAATGCCCTATCGCACCGTATTGAAAATGTGCTGATATAGGGTTTTTTAAATCGGCAGCTGAGATAGGGCGCTTTTGAGGCGAATTCTGAAATAGGGCGTTCTTCAACCAAATTCTGAAATAGGACGTGTTTGAACTTGAATGACAATCCACACAGGGTTGCACGAAAAAAAAGTTGAATGGCTAAATGTTGGTTGGCGACCAACTTTGTTGTAAGCGATTAGTTAAAAGGCCATTCAACCAAAAGTTATATGCAAAGATGAACAATGCAAACGATGTTTATGGCGAATATTTTTATATTTTTTATATATTGATATTTTTAGCCATTAAATTTTTTTTTCGTGCAACCCTGCGTGAGTTGAATGCAAAAGTTGCCTGAAAAATCGCCTCGTGCGAATGCCCTGCAGTTTCTGCAATTCACTTCCAAGTGAATTTGAGTCAAGTTCGCTTTAAATTCAAATGGGCAGGGGCTGAAATTCACTAGGAAGTGAATTTCAGAATTTGCCCATAAATTAGTCAAATTAATCTACATATCTTTACCTGAAATGCAAAAAGACGTAACAAAATCCGTAAAGATGTGGGGAGTTGTAAGTTGATGAAATTCATCATATAAATCCAAAAATGAATTTCAAATTTTTTATTAGTTATGACTAGGGCATGAATTTTCATGCACTAAAAAATAAGAAATATGTGCTTAAAAATGCAACAAAAAATTAAAAATATTCATGAAAAATCAAAAAAATTCGTTAATTAAAAAATGCAGAAAAAAACATTATATAAGCCTGCAGTTGAAGCATACGTTTATTTAAGTTTTTAAAGATAAATAAAGTTAGGTACAAAAATTATTTCATTCAATTTTGCGTTTAGCAAATACGTACATTTCAATACACGGATTTATATATGTAGAAAAATTCAGTCTTAAAATACTATATCACATAATTCAGCTCAATTTTTAGTTAGCTACTCATTAGCTTAAAAGCGACCAGTTCGCTTGCTGTATATTCATTTTGTAAAACACAATTTCTTTAATTTTTTAAAATCCTTGATTTTTCTCCAAAATTTTCTCAGAAATAAAATTGTTACTAAAAATTGCCTTCTAATGGATTACAGAGTGGCCCTGAAACATAAAAAAACAACACTTTTATGTTTCCCAATAGATTTCGCACTACATCGAAAACAAATGATAGCCGTGTTCACACCAACCTCCGTACTTCGTCATAAGGAGTTTTACGTGTATTTAACTGCAAACTAACAAATTTACAAAATTAAATATCCGTAAAAGCACCAACTAGAGAAATATGCACAGATTTGCAGATTTGTAAAGTTTTCCGTCAAGAGCTAATATAATGCAAAATATGTACTAAAATATGCAAAAAATGCGAAATATGCATTTATGGCTAAAATATGCAAAAACATTTGAATGCCATTTTTAAGATAATTTTATGATTCGCGTAGATACTTTATCTATTCCGCTTTACCTAAGTCCAAGAAAAACATATATTTGCATAGATTTACATGCCCTAGTTATGACCTTTTGCATTTCAACGATGATGTTTTTAACGTTTTTTGCATTTCAGGTGACGATATATGTATATTTAATTTCATATGTAGATTTAAAAATTTTATTGTTACATAAAATCATCAGAGTCATTTCCATCATCATAATTAGTAGTCATGCTTTCCGGTTTAAATAATTTATCGTAACTACGGCTCTCTGCTTCGGCCTTCTGACGTTTCATTTCTTCCTCTTCCTTCTCTCGTTGAGCTTTTAAACTGTGCTTGTTTTTCCTTCTTTCATCGGCGTCGCGTTCTTCTCTTTGCCGTCGTAGGTCCGGATGATCTTCAGTTTTCGATTTGTTTAGTCTATTGATAATTTCATTTACTCGTTTTTCAACGCGGATTTTTTTCACATCCTTTTCACAAAAATATCCTATCTGACCAACCTCCATATCAGGTGTTTTCTTAAGGTTGGACCATAATGTGTAAACGACCTCTATATTGTTAATTTTATTCCCTTGAATGCTGTTATATTTTACTAACTGCGCAGCGTCATTGATCAGAGCCTGTGGAATATCGTCTACAGATTGACCCTGTAAGAGATTTTTGTAAAAAATTACATTACATTTTCATTCTTTGACCATTGACAAGTAATTATATGAACATATATATGTATGTATACATAATATACATATGGGCATAACTAAAAAATAGGTACATTTTCAAAAAAAATTTGAATTTTTAAATTTGTGAGCACACCTATGTTTTATATATCATTTTATTCGTAATCTCTTAATAAATCGATTAATATAAGTGTAATTCATTTTCATCAAGTGCTTCAAAAGTCAGACGAGGAATAAACATGAAATAGAAAACAAAAGAATAAGCTGGGTTAAAATTACGCTGTTCAAGTTGTAAACTTTGAGCAAAAAATTTGAAAGTTGAGCTCACTTAATTGGGACGTTCTAAATTCAATGGCATGCCCCGTTTTACCAGATTGGCTCCGGTTTTCGAGATAACGGTACTTGAAAATTTGATTAAATATTAACTATTTTATAAATAACTCCCTCAGTTTTGAAGTTAATTTACTAAAATTTTGCACATAACAGTTTTTTAATATTACCTTAACTATTCCTTAAAATTATCGAAATAGGTTCACATTAACATATAGCTCCAATACAACTGATTACTCAGATATGTGTTTTTGCGCTATAACTCCATTTTCATATCTGAATAATAAATTGTATGCGTGCTATATGTCAAATTCAACCTATACTAAATTTTAACCTGTTTCATTGGAGGAGTTATAACGCAAAATAACGTCTCTGATCAATCAGTTGTATGGGAGCTAGATGTTTTAGTGAACCGATTTCGATGTTTTATGAAATAGTTAAGGTAATATTAAAAGACGGTTATGTGCGATATTTTAGGAAAATATCTTCAAAATTTAGGCACCTTTTTATGAAATAATTAAAATTTAAGCAAAGTTTCAAGTACCGCTATCCCGAAAAGTGGAGCCAATAGGGTAAAACTGAGGACGCCATTGAAAAAAAGCTACTTTGATACCACTCTCGAAATATTCCGACTAAAAGAAGGAGCATCATTAAAAGTAGTAAATCAGGGTTTTTACACACTTCTAGAGACAAATTTGTTGAAGCATTTTACAGGTATATGTAATTTTATAAGGACTAGCAGTTATAGAAAGATTTAGATCGTTTCGACGTATTTTCCAAATGTGCCTTCACTTAAGGTGTTGTTGGAATAAAAATTACGCTCAAGATCGCAGAATATTTTATCTTTAAAAGTTAGTTTATTCTGGAAGCACACCTCTTGCTAAGGTATCAAATTATTCGTAATTGTTTGTAGAATACATACATACTTAAAAAGTTCTTAAAATTAAATGCTTCAAGATCTATACGCGATAAACGGAAAATTTTTAAAATTGTGAAATGTTGAGTTACAGACTTTGAGTTACTTGCCATTTCGTTATTTTTTAAGGCACACTTTTCTTACCTACTACATATGAAGTGAACACATAAGTGCTAAATGCCCATTTAATTTCAAATCAGAATATGGTGTGCTTCAAAAGTTATGACATAATTACCCTGCAAGAACAGTGACCATCATTTGACAAATCATTTGACTGGCAAGGCTGATAGAGATTTCTGTCACTGGCTACCTACAAGTTTCTATCACATTCTAAAGGGCAGTGTGAAAAATCTGATGTAAACATTTGTGTACATATGATCTTCCGTCTTCCTCCAACTTATGGCCTTGTATATTGGTCTCTTTTTAACCAACGCAAAATTTGCAAATGTGTTAGTAAGATAAATGAGAATGTGTTAGTTTCCATCACACAATTCTTGTAGGGTAATTGTGCCCCTCTTAAAAATTACATAAAAAATTCACTCGTTTTCATTATTTTTTTAATTTACGCACCTATAACTCAATAGTTACGCAGCAAACTGATCCAATTTTTTTTTAGGCTTCAAGTATACGTCAATGAATTATTCCAAAAGCAACCAGCTGGATTTAGTGAAAATAAAGCTAAATAAAACCAAGGTTACCTGTTTTTTAGATTTGCCCATATATGTAAGTATTTGATTTGTGCGATTTGGAAGATAAAATACAATGCCCGCTTTGGACATTTTCTTTTAAGCAAAAATTGTTTGTATTTAAAATTACCTCTTTTAGCCTCAAGTATACATGAGCAGAAGAATAGTTGTGAACATGGAACCAAACATCCTCTGGCCAGCCCCATCGAATAAGTTCTTCATCTGCGAATATAAAAAAAGTTTAAATTTCTTTAAAGAACATAAATTAATATTAATTCCTTGATTCCAAAAGATATTTTAGTTCTCTACGTCTTGATATACAACATATTTGGGGTCTTCAGGAACGCACCTTGGTAAATAATTGCACAATATTGTTTATTATTAACTTATCTGGCTAGTTACGTTTCATTCTTACTTCGTCGATTGTGTTAATTCGCTTTTTATGTTTTCGTAGCAAAAGCGACAACCTGGCAGTCTGTCAGGCTGAATTTTACTGAAATGTATACGTTTATCCACCAAAATCGTCGGATAAAGTGATAAACTTTGGTTAAATAGCTATTTAGGTTTCCATACAAAGTTTGACTGCTCATTTATCAAAATGATAAATTTATCATTTTATCAAGTTTATCAGCTGTTTATCACTTTTGATGAAGACCCCTATTGAAAAAGTAAAATTGCGGAGGGTATGGTCAAAATAATAATTTGACGTTAACGCTAACATAGATCTCGCTAGCTTCGTCACGCAACCGATAATTTTAAGCGTGAAGACAGTAAGTTGCGAATTTGCCGATATTTTAGGGCGAATTCATTCAAGGTGGCGTTATTAGCATTAGGAGCGTTCCTTATCTCCCAGAAATAGTCAGAAAAAGTCCGAAGTAGTCAGACTTAGTCCAAAAAGCGTTCCTTAACTCGGAAATGACAGCAAAAATGAGAGAGCAACACTCAGTGAGAGTGACTCCCATCAGTCCGAAGTAAGATTTAGTCAGAAGAATTTTTTCTGGCAAAATCCTGAAAAGTGTCAAACTCAACTAAATTTAAATTAACGGAATTAAAGAATACGTAAAAAGTGAGAATAATCTAAAAAGTAAAAGAAGTGAATTGAAATTGGAAGGAGGCAAAAAATAATTGATATAGTAAGTGTTTATTGTGCTTGTGTGAATGTGTTTTGTAAATACATTTCCATTCTTATTTGACGTTAGCTTTGTTGTTGCCATTCTTTGGACTAAAAATTTGGTTTTTTGCGTTCCTTTACTTTTCCTGTTATTCTCTTTTAGTGAGCGCATTTTGCTTGCGCTCTGGCATTTTGACACTTTTCAGATTTTAGTCCAAAAAGATAAGGAATGAACCTTTTGTTTCCCAAGTTTTCCGAGCAGTTTCGGTAATTCGAGGGTAAAAATAAGTTACTCTCTCAGAATTGTCAAAAATGTGTCAAAACGTGCAAAAAATGCCCAGAACGTACGGAACACAAAATAACACATTTCGTGCCTGGAGTCAACAAATCAGCTGTTTCTCATGTTTATGTTTTTGCGATTTGACAAGTGCGGAAAACAGTTAAAGTTTATTCAATTGAAATTTCAATTTAGCTTAATCACTACTTTTTAATTTTACATCCTTTATTTAATTTTCAAAATATGGAAAGTACAAACATTAAACATTTGCAGAGCTTTCATTTAAGAGCATCTGAAAGAAAAACATTCAGTTTAAGTGTATTTATTTTATACGGCTAATAAAAATAGCAAATACCTACATTTTCTGAAGCAGGGTTCGTATTTGCACACACATGCTCTGCTCACACACACGCCAGAAACACATTCAACTTGTACTCACTGCTCATACACATGTGTGTGCATAAGTGGAAAACAAACTCTGCTCACAGAAAAGTGTGTGCTGTTTGTTATTAAGCACATGCACGTGTGTGTGAGCCGATTTTTGTACAAATTTCAGCCCATGCACATGCACATAATATATTTTTAAAAGAATTTGTTTACTAAACGTTATTTTTTGAAAGACAATTCCATAAAAAGTGAGATGTTGTTTGTTTTTTATATGACAGAAAACATATTAAAAAATTATTTTAAGATTTGAGATAGAAATCGAAGTGTATAAGTTTCTCTACGCAAAGCACACACATGTGCGTGTGCTTTATATTAATAAAAATAAAGTACACACATGAGCCCGTGCTTTTTACCAAACAGCACACACATGTGATGTGAGCAAGTTTTTAATTTTTTATATGCACAGCACACGTGTGTGAGCGTAAAATGTTAGGATGTGCTGCGCATGTGTGTGCAAATACGAACCCTGTTCTGAAGCCTTTGGCGGTATTTTCGTTTTTTGTGTTTTATAAAAATTGCTTTCGGATGTAAAATAAACAACAGCTGTTATGGCAATTTGACTCTTTGCACATTTGTGCTCGGAAAAGAAGTCCGGGCTATTTCAGGCACGAAGACATTTACTATCCAAAATTGGAACGCATTCGCTCTGTTTTACCTATTTTAATAGCGTGAAGAAGGCTTTTCTGGAGTGCAATGGGGTATAGTCGTTGCGCTGGGTATGCAGTTACAGTTGCATGGCTATACTTAATCCCGACTATTGCGTCCTCGTTCGCGCACTCTGGGCAACGTGAGCAACCCATGTGCGAGATGCGGTAACCAATTCGAGTGGAGCCTTAATGGGGAAGGTGCCTCTGCCCGGCTGGTTGATGTCTTCGAAAGGACAAAAGCTGACATCACCGCCATCCAGGAAATGCGCTGGACGGGGCAAGGCAAGCAATGTCTGGGGCCTTGCGACGTCTGCTACAGCTGCCATGTAAAGGAGCGCAAATTCGGTGTTGGATTTGTGGCGGGAGAGAGACTCCGTTGCCGAGTACTGTCGTTCACCCCGGTGGACGAGCGTCTAGCCATAATCTGCATCAAAGCGAGATTCTTCAACATCTCGCTCATCTGCGCCCATGCCCCGACGGAAGAGAAGGATGAGGCATCCAAGGATTTCTTCTTTGAGCGCTGCCCCCGTCATGATATCAAACTCGCGCTTAGCGACTTCAATGCCAGGGTGGGCAAGGAAGGGATCTTTGGAACCACCGTCGGAAAATTCAGCCTCCACGACGAAACGTCCGACAACGAATTGAGGCTGATCGACTTCGACGGGGCCCGAAACATAGTAGTATGCAGTACTAGGTTCAAGCATAAAAAGATCTACCAAGCTACGTGGCTGTCTCCGGATCGAAAAACGTGAAACTAAATCGATCATGTTGTGATAAATGGAAGGCATGCTTCCAGTGTTTTAGACGTACGCACACTCCGAGGCCCAAACATCGACTCGGGCCACTATCGTGTTGCAGCCAAGATACGACAGCCAGCACTTTCGCTACTCGACTCTCACACCTGCTCTCAGAGAGCACTCTTAAGCAAACCGGCATATGCGAGCAGTGGAACCCCATTACCCGCTCATTAAGTACCGCCGCCGAAGAAGTAGTCGGATTTCAGCGAGCCCGAAAGAACAACTGGTACGATGAGGAAAGTCAAGAAGCCGCAGAGAAAAATGACGCAGCCTATAGGGCCACGCTGCGATCGGGCGCAACGCGCGCTATATGGGACCGCTATAGGGATCTGAAGAGGGAAGCGAGACGTATTTGCCGCAATAAGAAGAGAGAGGCCGAAATACGTGAGTGCGAAGAGCTTGAAATGCTGGCCGACAGGAAGAATGCCCGAAAATTTTACCAGAGAGTTAGGCGACTTACGGAAGGTTTCAAGACCGAGGCGAACTCCTGTAAGAACAATAATGGCGACCTAGTAACTGATGCCCAGAGCATACTTAAATTATGGAGGAAACACTTTTCCGCCCTACTAAATGGAAGCAGCACGAAAAGTTGTAAAGAAGAACCCGAGCCCGCAGTCGATGGTGAAAAAGAAAAGAAAAGACCCACGAGAAAAGGATCGACACTCACCACCTATTTGTCGACTTTAAAGCCGCTTTTGACAGTACTAAAAGGAGTTGCCTCTATGCCGCGATGTCTGAATTTGATATCCCCGCGAAAATAATACGGCTGTGTAAAATGACGTTGAGCAATACCACCAGCTCCGTCAGAATTGGGAAACCACTCTCCGAGCCGTTCGCCACAAAACGGGGTTTCAGACAGGGCGACTCCCTTTCATGTGACTTCTTTAATCTGATGTTGGAGAAGATAATAAGAGCTGCAGAACTGAACCGCTCAGGAACAATTTACTACAAGAGCGTGCAATTGCTGGCTTATGCCGATAACATCGACATCTTCGGTAACAAAAACCGCGAAATCTGTTCTGCCTTTTTAAAGTTGGATAGGGAAGCAAAGCGAATGGGTCTGGTGGTAAACGAGGACAAGACGAAGTATCTCCTGTCATCAAACAAACAGTCAGCATATTCGCGCCTTGGCACCCACGTCAATGTTGACAGTTACAATTTCGAGAAAGTAGAGAATTTTGTTTACTTGGGAACCAGCATTAACACCGATAATAATGTCAGCATTGAAATCCAACGCAGAGTCACTCTTGCCAACAAGTGCTACTTTGGACTGAGTAGACAATTCAGGAGTAAAGTCCTCTCTCGACGTACGAAAACCACGCTCTATAAGTCACTCATTATGCCCTTGCGGGTATATGGCGCAGAAGCATGGACAATGACAACATCCGATGAGGCGGCTCTTGGAGTGTTTGAGATAAAGATTTTGCGGAAGCTTTACGGGCCTTTACGCGTTGGCGACGGCGAGTACCACAGACGATGGAACGATGAGCTGTATGAGCTTTACAACGATATGGACATAGTGCAGGGAATTAAAATACAGCGGCTCCGCTGGCTTGGTCATGTCGTTCGAATGGACACCGACGCTCCAGCTCTGAAAGTATTCAACATGGAAACCGCTGGTGGTAGCAGAGGAAGAGAGAGGCCCCCACTGCGATGGAAAGATCAGGTGGAGAAGGACTTGGCTTCACTTGGCGTTTCCAATTGGCGTCAGTTGGCACAGAGGAGAAACGACTGGCGTGCTTTGCTGAACTCAGCCAAAATCGCTTAGGCGGTTACAGCCCAAAAAAAGAATAATAATAAGAGGCATCTTTACGAACTGACGGACGAAGTCCAGAGGACCCGTCAACCTACCGACAGGGCCTGAACGGCATTCACAGAGAATCAGTCTCAAGTTATGTAGACTCCCGCCCTGTGAATGCCGTTCTAGGCACACAACCACCGGA